TTGCTAAGAATATCATAAGTATGTTTGGTTTGTCAAAAATATTCTTAAGAATGAGAGATATAATTATATATATATAAAAAAAACTTTTCCTTTTTATAGAAAATACTTTTTTAAGCTTGTATATGAATATTAATAAACGACAATTCTTTTATAATAACTACCATTTTAGTCTGTGATGCATGTTTATTATATATAATTAAAATTTATAATAAATTATATATAAATAAATATATGTTTGAATATATAAATTATATTTTAAATTTATAATATTCATGCATGTTTTATTATTTTTATCCACATATTTTAAATATTACATTTATAAATATATTTACACTTATATATTAATATCATTTTCTATAAAAATAAATATGTTTCCATCATAAAGGAAAAATGACTAACATTAACTATATAAAAGTAAGAAAGATTTGTTTGTTTTGAATTTATAGATTGTAATTAAAAATAATAATGATGAATATTAATAAACGACAATTCTTTTATAATAACTACCATTTTAGTCTGTGATGCATGTTTATTATATATAATTAAAATTTATAATAAATTATATATAAATAAATATATGTTTGAATATATAAATTATATTTTAAATTTAGGACGGAAAGAGACTCTTACAAGCATTTTGCACAAAAATAGGGTGAAAAGTCATGTCATTATCATACATGGCCTTCACCAATCAATAAGGTCTAAAACTAGCACAGTTAGTAGTAAATGATTTGAGTTTATAGGTATTCAAACTTTTTTCTTAATTCGTAAGAATCGAACTCAATATCAAGAGATTATAACAATTCATATAACTCAATCAATTGAGTTAAACTCTTTAACGAGGGAATCTAGTATCTTATCCTAGTTATTTTACTTCATGTGTTTAAGAAAATCTTATTTCAGAATAAAGTAAGCATAATTTACTGGAAATTTATAATTTAGTTTAATGCGTCAGATATTTGTATTGACTAGATTATTTTATGCTAACTTGTGTCATTGATTTTCTTTCAATATACAAGTTGTTTTTAAACAATAATGATGCGTCCATGGCATTTGATATTAATATAATGTAGACATTAGCATTGGTTTCTGCTATGAAGCTACATACATGCACGAATATCTACAAAAATGGGTCATGTATTCTTGTACACAATCACATGCACCATTGTCAAGTGTTACTCACTGTGTACTTAAAAAATTAAATAATTAAGAATCTCGTAATGTTCCCATTTGGATCCAAATGAAAGGGGTTCCATATTCACATGATTCTGGATGGAAACGTGTCAGGTATGAAAACCAATAATACTTAAAAGTTGGAGATGCGATGTGCTGATCGTATACAGCAATCAATTCGATCAATCAGTATCCAAATTTTTTAAAAGTACGTTGAGCCATCAGAAAAGCATCATTCTCTAAACATTGAAGTTTTCACTGTTTTGGAAATTAGTTATAATGAGGTGACTTATTGCAGACAAATATACCTGCTTTTACTTCATGCTATTCTATTTGGAAAAAGATTCTTTCAGTTTTTAATTTAAAATAAATGACAGTATTCCGTATAAATTATCTTCATTTTTTTTCTTCTAGAATTATAATAATGGAAGGAGTTAAAAAAGAAAAATAATATATATTCTCGTGTTCAATTTCAGCGTCAACGACGATTATGTTATTGTAATTAAGCCATATTAGTCTGACACGATAAGTTGAAAAATATCCATGACGAAAAATAAAATAAAAGAAAAAGTATGCAGACATCCTTTTTATTTTCAGTCAATGGGTAGACCAATTCAAATTTGATACCGTGAAGGTAAGTTTGTTGACTAAAGTTTGTTGCTAAACTCAACTAGTGAGTAACATTCACGAAATTCATCGTCACAAGGAGATGTGTATTCTGTTCATGCTACGGGAAGTGAATCAAATTATTGATTTATTGGCCAAATCGATAATGCATTCATTTATTCACATTTTTATTTTATGTTGTACCGATTTTCATTCTCAATTCTCTAGTTTTGATTTTTCTTAGAGACACACAAAAAACGTAATGTGAGGTCTTATAATATTTTAGTATAACATATTCATGTCTTTATTTTATTGGTTTTGAGTTTATAATTTATAACTTGTTTATAACTTTATATTATTATACTTAAAATATATGCTAATAAATATGTATATAAATATTTAAAAATAGTTATAAATATTAACGCTTTTAAATAATTTTATATTCATGCATGTTTTATTATTTTTATCCACATATTTTAAATATTACATTTATAAATATATTTACACTTATATATTAATATCATTTTCTATAAAAATAAATATGTTTCCATCATAAAGGAAAAATGACTAACATTAACTATATAAAAGTAAGAAAGATTTGTTTGTTTTGAATTTATAGATTGTAATTAAAAATAATAATGATGAATATTAATAAACGACAATTCTTTTATAATAACTACCATTTTAGTCTGTGATGCATGTTTATTATATATAATTAAAATTTATAATAAATTATATATAAATAAATATATGTTTGAATATATAAATTATATTTTAAATTTATAATAAATAATTAGTATTGTAAATGAAAAATATTTTATTTATTAATAATTGCAAAATTAAATTTATGCATTCAAGAGAAAAATTAAAATTACTTTACATTGAGGACGACATGCGCATATATATCAGATCGAATATTTTTATATTAATCTTTTTTAAAAAGTGGAGACCCGCAAGCGATGCGTGTCCACGTTAAATGTCTATACTATATATATAGAAACTAATTTTTCTGCTATCATTTTGTTTAAGAAAACCCTGTTAGGAATCCGAGAACATTGAGAAACATAAACATTAATAAGTCGAAGCCAGCCAAATCTCAACCGAAAACCAAACACGCCCTTACAGAAACATATTTGTGCAAGTGAGTCAAATCATCTGTTACCGTACCCTGCGTTCTCTCTGTGGACTAGGGCTTGCAGTGATGGATATGAGAGGGAGCAATAGTGCCACTCACAATCACAAATAATGAATGTGCTTGTTCAGTGGTTTGAGTCGATACCAGCTGATTATATCAGGGCACATAAGAGGGTTTATCGGATTTTATTTTATTTATTGATAATTTATTCTAAAATATTAAAATTATATAGGATTAATATTAGATTCCCATCATTGAAAAAGTTTTAGTGGAAAACTAATTAAAAGACGATTATTATATATAATTTTAAAAAATTTTATATCAAACATATAGGAATTTTAACATTTCCAACCCAAAATTTTCAAGAAAATTAAAAGAATGTCTTTACCAAACCCTCCCTAAACAAAATAAGTCTTGAATGAATAATTAGTTTTATAGTAAATTCAAAAAACTTATACTGTTTTTGGTAAAGAGAAAAGAAGTGAAGGGAAAAAAGAGAAAAGCAGAAAAGAGAAGTATAAAACAATAAAGTAGAAATAAAAGTTTTTAAGTAAGAGGAAAATATTGTAGAAGTTTATTTTTTTATAAAAAATAAATATAAATATATATTTTAAAAAATATACTATTATAGTAACATTATTTTTAAAAAAATAAATAATATAATATTCATAAATAAATTTATTTTTAGATATAAATATATATATTTTAATTATTATATTTATTTATTTATTATTATTATTATTTACTAACTTTCCTACACTTTCCCTCATTTTAAAAAAGCCTTTTTTATGGATCTCACAATAATATCTTTACACTGCTCCTCAATTTTCCCTTATCAAACGGCACTCGTATTTTAACTTTCACATAGCTCTTTTCTTTTACCCAAACATATTATTAAGTTTATGAAGACTAGTTGGATGACTTGTGCCATGCACGGGGTTGTTTGAATTTTCTTTTTAAAACTATTGGTATCCTTATGTTCAAACATCATATCAGAATTTTAATCTCCATAATAAAAGCATTATATTGCAATTAATTAGTAAAATTATTTTCCTGTTTAATTGACATACTAAAATTATTAGATGCTAATAAATTTGTTTATAACTAATAAGAGATGTTTAAATTTAATATGTATAATGACATAATTATCTCTATAAAAAAGTTACAGAATAAATTGGATACTATTCTAAATTTAGTAATATTAAAATAAGATAAGATTCTTAACATTAATTAATATTATCATTAAATGAGATGTCAAAAGATAAAAATAAATTGTTGACAAATATTTAATGACACTATGATTTAGAGGTATATTTCTTATAATCATAATAAATTGAATTTGAATTTGAATGTCCATACTCGGGAGACTATTATATCGCCAATAATCATTAAAAAAAATTGTGCTTAATTAGAATAATTAATAATTAAACGTAAAAAATTTATTTTATAATAAATAAAAAATATTTGAATTTAATGACATGATTATTCTATAAAAGACAGAAAAAATATCGGAAACCATTTTAGATTTAATAATGTTATGATTAAAATACCTCAATTTCGACGAAGAACAAAAAATTAATCCACAATGAAACTTTAACTCTTCTTATTCTCTCAATTAGCTTGTTCTTTTACAGATTTTATATTTCGCGTATGTGTACTAAAGATATTCATTAGTCAATAAATAAGGACCAATTCCTGTAGTAGTGTAAAGATTACTAAAAGTAAATTTTACTTCTCATATTAGTTTTCTTTTCCATACAAGATTCTAATACTCAAACAACAAAACTATCTTCTACTCTTCTAACTTGAGTTTTGTTGGTTGTTTATATTGATTTTGATCCGTACGAACTAAATGCCACAAAAATTAAATTGAAAACAGGCATATGTATTATTATTTATTTTATTTTGGTAACAGTAGACATATGTATATCGTCGTGCAATATTTTCCCCCCATTTTATCATTAAATCATATCCAATTATTAGTTTACAACCAACAACCGTTATATTCATCTTACTTGACCGGACCTCTTTGTTTTGGTTGTGTACATAATTTACACAGCGATAAATTTGTAATAATAGATCTCAATTAACAAAATAACAAACAGATTCTCAGTAGAACCTATTTGACATTCATAACAGACCATTATAACTTTATTTCTAAAGGAGATTCAAATATACTCAAATCCAAAGCTGAATCCACCCAACAATCTGAATTTGTATTTCGGTACATACAACACCTTTAAGACACACCTACCCTGGCTTACAATGGATAAAGAAAGTTGAAAGAGAACTTCAAACAGCTAGTTTTTAATCAAAAAAATTCAACTCAACACAAAAATAGCATTTCCAAGGGAAGTTGGGTGGAGAAGCAATCATATTGTACCCATTGAAGAGCAAGTTCAAGTTGGTTTTCCTGGCTGAGCGTTTTAACCTTCCTCTCCATAGCTTTCAATATAAAAATGTCTTTTAAAACTAATAGATTCATCCCAACTACTATCAAAATGTTTATTGTGATATGAAGAGAAGGAGTGAAAACAAGCTTAGTTGTTCTTGGGAACCCCAAGCCTCAAACGGAAATCCTCTTCCATAAGAGGAAGGCCATCACGCAACTTGACCTTTGGCTCCCAGCCCAGCAATTCCTTTGCTTTTGTTATGTCTGGTTTTCTCTGACGAGGATCGTCAGGAGTGTTCTCAACCATCTTTATCTCCACTCCTGGATTAATAAGCTGCAAAACCATACACAGGATTAACCAACTACAACTTTTTCACCAAAAGCTACATTATTAAAACACATGTTTTTCTCCCACATTACTTTGTTAATTGTATATTGCATTGCACATACACAGTCCCTCTCATGAAAACATGTCCATAATTTGTTATCAAGGAGTTTCTTTGTTCATACTTTTGCTCAAAGCTTGCAGTTAAAATATAACTAGATTAACACGAGAGGGGTGTAGGGATTCTCCAAGAATTGAAATGGTTTGCAAGTTACAACTAACCTCCTTCACATTCTCGGCAAGTTCAATCATTGTAAATTCACCTGGAAGAATAAAGTACCAACACATTAGTATTAGGCAGAAAAATCAGAGCTCAAGTGTCTCAGTTGTAATATAACCTGGGTTCCCAATGTTGATTGGACCAGTGTTTTCCCCTTCCATTAGACGTATAAGTCCATCAACCTAATAGATTTCAAATGTATAATCGTAGTCAATCACACCTAGTACTTAAGATAACACACAAATAGGAAACATGTATGATATATACCATGTCAGAGACATAGCAGAAACTGCGGGTTTGAGTTCCTGGAACTTGGACAGTTAAGGGTTCACCACTATAACACAAAAAAATTATATGAGAAGAAACAAATAGAGTCCAACTTGAAATGATAAAAAAAATATGTATGATTAGTCAACTAAATCAAGGTATTTGAATCAACCTAGCAAATAAACAGCAGGCTCAACAAGCACATAATTCATACAGTTATAGAGCTTGGGTTTCTCATTAGTGCACTTGAAATAAAGTAAGTAACTTGATTACAGACGTGCATCAATGTTTCTTGAGAGTTGAGATATATAAAGTCACAAAATTATTTATCAGCATAGCTGTTTTACCGAATTGCTTGAGCAATGAAGTTGCTGACAACACGCCCATCATCAATATTCATGCGTGGTCCGTATGTGTTAAAGATTCTTGCAATGCGTATTTCTGAGATAAAAATATAAAGAAAAAAAAATCAGAGTTATTAGTTAATGGCAGTGCAAAACTTGTACTGTTTGAGCCCTCAATTAATTAGAAAATGTCACCATCGACAGAAAGAGGAAAAAGAAAAGGAATTACCAATTCCATGCTGCCTATGATAATCAAACATCAAAGTTTCTGCAACACGCTTGCCCTCATCATAACAACTCCGAACTCCTGTGCACACATATTTTTATATTTAGGCCATATCCTCACAAGTTTCAGCATAACATACTGTTTGGTTTACCGTATCAAAACCTAATACAATATCAATAAACAAGTAATTGAGGAGCAGTGGAGCACCTCACATCATGAGCCCAAAACATTGGGAAAAATGTTTTTTTAACCCACCCCCAAGCAATTTTACTGGGTCATGATAAAAGGTCAGTATAGCATGCACGACATGGATCATTCTAAATTCCTACAAGTTTGGTATATGAACGACATGGATATTATCAAAATATAATTCAAAGAGATCATATATTTGCAGCTTTCAGATCATGTTCATTAACAAATGCATGTTCAAAATGACAAACCACTTTGAAGTGTGAAAATTAAACACCAGGTATACATTATGATGAATTCAGCTAAATTAGCATTGGCCCCACTATGATGCCATTGATATTTGATACACAAGTTTGGATTGAGAATGAGAAGTGTATGTACCAATAGGGTTAACATTGCCCCAATAGCTTTCTGGTTGTGGATGCACAAGAGGGTCCCCATATACTTCTGAAGTAGATGTAAGCAAAATCCTGTCAATCAAAATTACAAATTTGTAAAATCAACAGATGGTAATGGTTTCAATTATAAACTTTTTTTAGAAAAAGAGATAACCTTGCTCCCACACGCTTAGCAAGCCCAAGCATGTTCAGCGTTCCAATCACATTTGTCTTTATTGTCTGTGGAGTTTTTACTTTAATTGTTAGATCATTTCTCAAGATTCACTAGATAGAGAACAATAGACCAACGAAAAGGTCATAAACAGTCTGAATTACTAGAAATAATAACAATTGGAAACATCATAACAATATATATGAAATTCTAATTTTAAATCTGCAATAGACCAGGGGGGAAGGGGGCAGATTGGGGGAAATTCGAGCTACTTGTGTGCAAGAAATAAGTCATGTAGACAGCTGAGTGACAACCATGGTAAAGGACAGAAATACAAAAAGTAGACTCTTAAGAACCCCACCTTTACAGGATTGTACTTATAGAAAATTGGAGAAGCAGGGCATGCAAGATGATAGATTTGATCAACCTCAATCAACAATTGCTCTGTGACATCTGTTCGGGGAAAGAAAAGTATATGCATTTTAATTAAATTGAAACACATCTAGAAATAAAGAAAAACTTTGCACATGATAACATCATCATTCATGTTGTTCAACACAACATGATGCAGCTGGCTGCTCTATGTTTGGTGACTGATTTAGAAACATTGAGAATAATCCGTCAAATAATTCCCTAAAATTACAAGTCATTTTAGGCCCTAGTTTTAAGGATCTACTGATTTGATATTTGAATTTGACAACTATAGTCATTTTGGTCCCAGACTTTGGTGCACATCAGTCAATTTAGCCCTGACTTTATTGTACATCAGTTAATTTGGTCAACAAAATTTAGGACTAAATTGAATGATAATTGTTAAATTCAAGGACTAAGTTGATTGATCTATAATGTTAGGGACCAAATTGACTCATAATGCCAATTGTGAAAGTTGGGGACAAAAATTTATTTTTCACAATATCAAGGACCAACAAGCTTCTGTTGTATGATCCTTCACAGTCTTGAAGATCAATCACAATGTAGAGAACTAAATTAAGAGGCCAAACACATAGTAAAAGGTGGGAAGACAGGAAAGAAATTTTAACCACAAATTGCACCCTACATGGACAATTGCAAAAAAGAAAATAATAAAATTATACCATGACGAATTAGCTCAAATCTTGGATGGCCAATCCACTTTTTAAGGTTGTCTTTAGATCCGGTGAAGAAGTTGTCAGCAACAATGACCTGATTAAACAAACATAGTGTCACATGTTGTTCCCAAGTTTTATTGCACATGTCGAATAACTAATAAACTTCAAAACTATGAACAGAATTATATAAGCCATGCTAACCTCATTTTTTTCATTTTCCATCAATCTGTCAACTAGGTGAGAGCCAATAAACCCAGCTCCTCCAGTAACCAGAATTCTCATATTGGACTGTTGTCAGAAATGAAAGCAACATTGTAAAACCAAGAGTTCACATAAGGAAAGACAAAAAGTATCATGTAAAAGAAGAGATCCTGGCAAGAACATTGTTCAGGTAGTCAGTATTCTCTTGATAATGAAGTGTAATATGATGTTTTATGCACATATTCCACATGACTTAAACTAAGTTGTGCAAGAGAATATATAAAATGAAATGTAGTAACAATCAAAGGGGCAAATTATTTTAGTAGACCAATTGGCACCAGGAGCTGAAAAGTAAACACGAGAATGCAATCATAGCATATATTTTGACAAGAGTGAGCATTGAAATAAAAACTAAAATGGCGACAATCAGAATGACAGAATAACATGAGAATGCTACGCGAGACTTCACCTGAAAGAACTTGGAAAATCTCAAGGGAGACGGCAAGGGAGGTTGCTTTGTTGCTTTTTGATGATCTCCATTTGAAGAATTTGTTGCCATTATCAAAACCTCTGAAACTCAAATCCTGAAACAATTTCCAAAACGGTCACATTATGAGTCCAGAACACATGCATTGAGTCAATAAATTTTATAAAATCAAATCTAATAAAAACCGAGTAGATGGCCAAGGAGATAGTAACACTAACAGACAATTCAATAACATACATAAGAGAAAGAGAGAGTATAACAATGGACCTGATAGTGAACTTAAGCAAAGACACACAAATCTAAAACCCCAAATCACAGATCTGATCTAAACGATCCATGATCAGAAAACAATTTATAGAAGAAAGAAGATCCCGAACTTCAAAAATTTCCACCAAACACCAAATTAGATTTTAATTTTGAATTACTCAATTCCATTGAAAAAGAACCAATCAACCAATAAACAAGTAAAAAAATAATTTTGGGATCCTTCAAAGTCACGGAAAGTTAAAAAGCATGATGACAGTTCCTAGGCAACAGCAAGGACACGAAAACAATAAGATGGCATCATACCAAACTTTGAAAAAAGCAAACACCCAAAAATCAAAACTTGTACAGAGTTGTTAAATACTACCTGTTGGAAACAGAAAAAGAAAAAATGACGATAGAGGTGGAGTAGGAGTAGGATTTGGGTGGTTTTGATTTTTTAAGGATACGAGAAGGTGATACTAGAAAGCATTGTTACGTGTTGTAAGTGAGGAGTGAGGTTAATTAATTACGCTGTTAGACACAAATTAAGGGAATTTGACTTTACTTTCAAACTTGGATGAGAACAGAGCTGTCTGTCTGTACTCTCTGTTACTGATTTCAGAGTATTGGATAAGTCATAGTTGATTCCCCAGTGAGTCAGAGATAGATTACGTACCCTAAAGTTAAAAGGCAGTTATTACAGTATCATATCAATCCTAGTGTCTTGAAATGGTCAATATTTTAAATCAATAAAAATAAAGTGCTCTCTTCATTTTTTTATAATAGTTTTGACAATATTTTTTTTATATATTTTTTTAATTATTTTTTAAAATTAATAATTTATTAGTTTTTTATTTTTATCTTTGATAATTAATGTATATTTAGTGGACAGTGTGTTTATTCACTTTAATGTATCTATTTTTTTTTTCTAATCACTTAAAGAATATAACAGAAAAATAAATAATAAATACTTTAAAAAATTAAAAAATTAATTATTTTTTTAATTATTGTTCATAAACTTAAACATCAAACAATAAAAATGGAGAGAATAATGTATGAATTTTATTTTTTTAAAAATTTCTCTCTTAAATAATGTGTTATTAGTAAATGGATAATTTAATTTTTTAATAAAAAATTTAGTCTAAATATTTCAAATCATTTTATAAAAAATAAAATAATAATAAATAAAATGTAATAAGATTTTGTTTGTTTGAGTATCGGGAAATTTTGTGACTTTTTCTATTTAATAAATGATAAAACTTTCTTATTTAAAAAAAAATTAATGAAAATATTATATTTCTCTCACTCATTTATAGCAACGATCCCAAAAAAAATTAATTAAAATAAAGATACAATTAAAAACAATTAATTTTTTTTAGACTTTTTAAGTAAATTATTTTTTCCTAAAAAAATACTAATATTAGAAGAAAAAAAGTTAAAGTGTGTAATATTTTTAATCTACGCATATATTAAAAATTGCTAGTTCAAAATGTTTGACATTTCTTCTTCTTTATCAAAGACATGAAACTGTAACTAGAGGTATTATTTTATCTATAGAACTATATCATACAATCTACTTATTACTTATAATAGAAGGTAAATTTTATAAAATATATAATAAAGAAGAACACCGTAAGATTTCATAAATTAAAAACTATATATATATAAGTTTACCACCAAATATTAAAGTTAATGAAATTGCATTTTCAATAACTTTTTGAAAAAATATTTTATAGAATTTTGCAATTATAAATATGTAAAGCACGAATTTACACATTCAGAGGAACTCTCTTCTCCCCTTTGTGTTGAATGTTGTGAATCTAATGGATTCAAAGAGTGTAATTTACACTAATTGGTGTTTTGTATGCGCGCTTTCTCTCTCTCTTTTTCTTTTCTTTCTTCAATTATACTACATCTTATTCTAATTATAAACAGTTTTTTTAATTCTAATTATAACCGACAATTATTAATTTTTAAAATTATTCAAAGATAAATTTCCTCATACCATTAATTTAGTGTTAACTTTATTTATTATGTATTTAATTATAACTGATATTAAATGTAACAATTACTAAAGTAAATAATATCATTGAAATTAAATTTAAATTTACGATAGAATTAATTAAAAATAATAAACTTATTTATTTTTCTTGATCTTGATGATTTGTACTACGGGTTAATTTCAGTTTTATTATACTAAGTAATTGGAAATAAGATTTATTAATCCGAAATTGATTTAAACTAGATTAATTTATTGGCAACCCAAGTTAATTGAGTTCTCTAACATCAACATAAAAAGTGGACTGATGTGATTCGTTCTCTGTTGATTGGATTTTAAGTAATTAGTTAGTTTAATTTTAAATCAATAAAGGTGTTTATAAAACATGATAAATTCAATTTTGAACAACAATAATTCCTACCAGCCAAATTGAATCACTTGAATTGATGTTTAATTGAAAACTTCTCTCTATTTAATTTTGATTTTAGTTGGATTGATAAACACAATACCCCGTACTACCACCTACTTAGATTAGAAATAATAAAGTTGTCAAATTTTGATGCAAGTGCTGTCAAGGGTCACCTGCATTCTTCATTACTACATTCACTTTAGAGGATCAAACAATAACTAGAAGCAATTTTCTGCGGCAACATGAAATCTCTGATATGATTCTATTTGGAGTTTTGGACAACAAAATTTATAAAACCCAAAAACGATTATACAATGCAGCTGTTCAAGCCATAACCGGAGATCTAATCTGAAGAATCTGAAACAGTGGACATTTACTGTTCGGAACTTTGGATAACACCAGCTCCAAATTCAGAAACACAATCTAACTAGACGTGTACTCTAAAATTTTATTCAACAAGAGAATAAAACTAATTTGGCCAATCTTAGGTTACGGAGATAATTGTCGACTACCAGGGTTGTAAATTCCAGCACCAAGAGCTATGAAAACCCAAAATATGAGAATACTTATGATAGCAGTTTTCAACATCTGGTCAGAATTGCTGATTTGGCGGCCATCTAATTCATTAGATGAATGCAGTGATGGCAAACCCTCATTGTCAATGATATCCTCCACCCTATCAATCCTGCTGGTTCCAGTCGCATGATTTTGTAGCATATCCCAGTTGCCCATTTTAGAACATCTCATGCAAGTGCAGCAGCCTCCAAGATATGATGGTAGCGTGGGCAAATTGTCATAAAGTACCTTCTGATATCTCTCCCCCCCTAATTTCAACTTCTTCCTGGTAGTTGGCTTTAAAACCTATGATTCAAAGTTTTAAATTAGTTTATTTAAAGAAAGCAAAAAATTTTATAGTGATATTTTTAGTAAGAAATAAGCAAAAGTTTCACTTTTGGCTAAGAAACTTTATCTTGATTTGAGGCACTTAAAGGATAAGTGAAATTGCATTTATTCAGGCACCTGATCGAATAGCCAATATATGAACACCAACTTCACGACTACCTTCCATCTTGCCACGTTTTTAGTTATTTTAGGCTAAATAAATGGAAAGGAGAGTTTACCTGAAGAAAAGTCTGGGCAATAACACGAACAATTGCTGGAAGTCGGATGATAAACAAACCACCAAGACGATTAGGAAAGTGATTTTGCAGAAGGGAGGAACATGATCTTAACATTTTCATAGGAATTCTCAATGGAGATAACCCTTCACAGTCCACCAATACTGTAATTTGAGGGTTGTCTGCATCAAGCAAGTGCAAGACTCCATATTCTACCTGTGATACTGAGGTATAGACCATTGGTTACCACTAAACTAAAGCATGAAACAGATTAGCTAAGAAACTAGTTAATTATGTCCAATAGACAGAAGGGAGAGAGAGGGGGGGGGGGGGGGTGG